CCCGGCGGCCCCCGCCCCGCCTTCCGCGGCCACGTGGGCCCGCAACCCCGGAGCTTCTGCAGGGATGAGGCTGCGCTCGGTGGGCTCCGGGCCAGAGCACACAGTAGGTGCTCAGTACGGTGACCGCAGCGGGCCCGGCCCCCATTGTGCGATGTCTGTGGCTGCACCACCCTCCGTGTCGTCGCAGCGGGAGGCCCGAGTCTTCAACCAGAAGCGCGGAACGCGGACAGCCCCGCCCAGGCCCGGGAGGCGCCCCTGTCGGAGGAACGCGGTGGAGCGGAGGCCGCCGTCCCAGGCTCCGGTCCCTGGCCGTCGAGCGCTCCTTCCTGGGAACACCCACAGGGACGAAGGGGCAAGGCAGACAAGGACGGGCGGAGGCGGGCGCTGCTCTGGAACCCACAACGTCCATAGTTGGCAAAGTCAGCGCCTCGGGCCCAGTACTCCAGTTACCCCTTGGTCCTTTCCTTGATGGAGCTGGTTGAGTTCACAGAATCATTATGGAGTGACTTTTCCCACTAGGTTGAAAACAATTTTAAACCTGAATAGAAATAAAAGTCAAAAATTCTAACGTAATTCTAACTTACTTTTCCCCCAAACGAAGAGAAAAGCCATGCGAGTTTCCCAGCAGTGGCCAGACGCCCCCCGATGGCCATCGTCAGGGTTTCTATGGACCAGCTGCAAACCACGCTGCCCACAGCACTCCTGATGGGGCTTCATGGATAAAGAGGAGGACGTGGGTAAGAGACTCGAGGTCCTTGTCCACACACAGTTTGGCCACAGGCCCGCCTCTGGCTCTGCCGGCAGTCAGGCATTTGGCAAGCTTGTGTCTTTTATAAAGCTCTGCAATTTAACAGTTTCATTTAACTTGGCTTAACTAAAAAAATGAAGTATTGATTGCTGTCTTAAGATTTAGGTAATTGCTTTTGAGAAACTGAGAGCGAGCAGAGGTAAACTCGCTCCCTCCAGTGGTGCGACTCCACACTTCCCACTCTGAGGGAGCATGCAAAACGTCCTGGCACTCGCGTCTGTCAGGTAAAATCTTCGGTGGGAAGGCATATTCAAGGACAGACACAGCCTTCCAAAGACACACAGTTAACAAAAGGGAATCGTGATGGAGCTTTCCACCTGAGGCATTTGTGTTAATTGACAATGGGAGGTTCTCTGCTGCTTGCACTGTGCTGTTTCACTGAGGGATGCTCCCCCAACAGTGAGGTTTACTTCCCTGATGGAGTCCTCCAGCATCGAAGACCTGCAGGAGGGACTGCAGAAGTTAAAGATGCAGGTGGACAGCCTGGCCTCCAGGCTGACCTCGAGCCCAGACAGGGGGGACACAGGCCAGTAGGAGCGGGGACCGGATTCGCTGAGTAGGGCCCACCCAGGCAGTGCACAGAGCACCCTGCTCCCAGAATGCCGGCTGCCAGCGTGGTTTTTGAGTCCTCTGCATCTTACTAGAACTCTGGGGAGCCACACAGCATACCAGAGCCATGGCCTGCCAGTGCGGCCTGTGGCCCCCAGTGGCCCAGCCCCTGGGCTTCCCAGCACTGCAGTGGCTGGCTGCCTGTCCTGCCTGTTGTCTTCCATGGACAATGCCTGTGCAGAAGCCGGTCCTCTTACACTTGGAACACCTCATATGATCAGCATGAAGTTACTGCGACCTCCCCATGTCACTCTGCAGTCTTCCTCTCCTAGGGTGGCCTGGCCTTCAGCCCCAGGCCTTGCCCCCACCCCTGGGAGGGCCCCAGGCTGCTGGTGTCCACCCTACCCACCAAAGCAGGGCTCCCAGCTCTTCACAGAGCGGCAACCTGCCAGCCCCTGCCAGTTCCTCCCCAAGGTGCAGGTGTGTAATGAGGTAGTGAGTAGCGGAGCAGGGCCCAGGACTGTAGAGAGACTTAGGACTCAGCTCAAAGCTTGCCAAGCCCTCCAGCACCCCCACAGCTGTGTAGCTTGTCTTCCTGCTCACTATGTGTTTAGGTAAGCAGTTGCCTACTGCTGGTGACCCTGAATGCTGCCCTCTGCCCCCAAAGTACCTCCACCGCCTAGACCTGCAGACCCACCAGCAAAAGGTCAACATGGCCATATCAGAGGCCCTGAAGTTAACTCCCCAGACACTTCCTGAGTCATGTGGGGTCGTGGGTGGCCTTATCACAGGCACTCAGCTGCCCTGCTCCTCCAGTGACAGGTAACACTGGGAGTGCAGGTTCACCAACTGCAGGGCTGAGGCAGGAACTCAGCCTTCCCAGGAAAAAGGCAGGGGCAGCTGCATGGTGGGGACAGAGCTCCTGACGGTACCTTCATGTCCCCGCACTCTGGAAGGGCCTGCAAGTGGACCCCGCGGAAAGTCCCCTGTTTGGAGCCGTCCGCCAGGCCTGAGATGCTTTCCTGCCAAGTAGGGCTGGCCTTGGAGCAGGAGAGGCAGTAGGGGCAGGAGATGATGGTCCCAGGCCATATGGTGAGTGGAGCAGCTCAGGCTCTTGCCCTGCCCTTGGCAGCGCCATGCACCCCGTGCTGGCAGTGCCAGCGCCCTGGCCTCTGGCTCCCTCCTGCTGCAGGCTCAGGCAGACAGCTGGCTGCCCACTGCTCTCCCTGAGCTCATGCCTACACCTGAAGGGGACGGGGGAGCAGGGTTCCTGCCTTCAGAAACTCTTGAGTCTGTGGCACAGAGGGCATAATTTGTCACAGTGAGTTCACCTTCCTTTCTGAAATGTGGGCAATTTGCGGCAGCTGTTTGAATCCCTAGTGGGACTATGTCAGTGAGTAGAGGTCACCCCACACTCCCTTGCCACGGAGACCAGCCCACCCTCCTCTCCAGTCCCTCCCCAGAACGGCAGCTGGGCCCACCTCCCATCCAAGGGCTGCGCCGCACCTCACCACCCTCACCTCCAGGAAACACGACTTCCCCTTTCTTGTTACTGCATGTCGGAAGAACATTTTTCATCCCAGAGAAAAAGTGGAGACACTGCTGTTGCACCTGAGCTTCCGTTTTCCTAAACTGTCCCCTCTCCCTGGCAGGCCATCACCTGGGGCTGTGCTCGCAGGACTTGACAAGGCTTATTACTGTCGCTGTGGAAACAGCACCTGCCCTGCTCTAGGGAGGTAACTAGAGTGGTGCCAGGCGCTGCCTGGCTGCATGGCTCACTCTTGGGTACCTACTTCTCAGACACCTAGACTCCAGTCCTGACGCCACCATCCGGCCTTTTCACAAACAGCTTTGTCCTGAGAGCTGGAGAGACATTATCTCCACGAAGGAGTCCTGGGCACAGATTTTAGCCCTCTCAGCCCCTCTTGCTGCCCAGCGTGGGCCCCCACGCTGCATCTTATGGGCCAATCTGACACATAGCCTTGCTGAGATCCTTAGATTTGTCCTCTTGAAATTAGAGACAGGAGCAGGACCCCTTACAGAGAGTGCAAACTGGTGCAGTTGAGCAGCCCTTGCATGGGTGCCTGCTGCAGCCTACCCTTGGGGTCCCTGTGCGCATTGGCCAGGGTCTTCCCAGCCCTGCCCTCCCTGGCTGGTCACCTACTGCATGGATCACAACCTTGACGCTTTTCTTGTCTCAACTGGAAGCAGCCACCGCACAGTCCTTCCTGGTAGTCAGGTGCAGGTCCCTTGGCCTGTGTGTAAGCTCTGGCAGGCATCAGCCTCTGCCCAGCATCCTGGACCCAGAGTGGACCAAGGAGTATGGGCAGGAGTGCGTTGGGGAGGCGGAGAAGTGGGAGTACAGCCAGCTCACAGAAAAGCCAGGACAAAACTGTTTCCTGGAGGCTGTTCTCAGACATGGCTCAGATTCAGAGACTTACAAAGTGCCTGGGACAGTACCAGGGCAGCACCTCTAAGGTGAGGGCTTTTGGAAGAGGCATTTCTTGGTGTGTGGAGACACTGAGGGCTCCTCTCATCTCTCACTACCAGTGAGTGGCTGGTGCTGGGCCTCGGTGCCCAGAGATGCAGCCAAGCTGGAGCCTCAGAGGGGATGGCTTGTGGGGGAAGCAGGATTTCAGCCAGTGGGACGTGTGTCTCTTCTGGCTCACTCTGTCCTCTCGGGACTGTAAGCATATTTTGGGGGAAGGAGCTCATCACTCAGCTCCTTGTGTGTGAGTTTGACCGAGCCCCCAACAGAAATGACCCCTGGCATGCTCCTGTTGCCTGCACATGCTCTGTAAGCTGGGCCCAGGCTCGGTGTGGAAGAAAATCTCTCCTCTCAGGAGGCCAGTGGGCTCAGTCCTGGATCATTCCAGCCTGCAACCCTGGCCTGGGTGGTCTCAGGACCTGGGCCAGCTGCTGGCCAGCAAGCGAGTGTGTGAGCACGCAGCCCAGTGGCACACATAAGCCACAGCCACTTGGGCTTCCCTGGGCCTGACTCAGGGGCTTGGGCTGAGCAGCTGGCAGTAGCCCCACCACACCCCTGCCTCACACAGCAGGGCGGGGTCCTGTGTCTCCTGCCATTGTCACACAGGCAAACCCTGGGCAGTGAGCCCAAGCAGTTGCCTTCCATGAATGCAAAACAGACTGGGCTGGTGGGCAGTCAGGCCTTGGTTGCCCATCTGGGCCACGTGACACTGTTGGGCTCTTGGGAAATGGCTGCAGGCTGGCTCTCGTGAAGGCTGCCCCTGCACACATGCCCACCCGGCCTAGGCGGGTAGACACACCAGGCAGAATCTTCAGAAACCACTCCTCAGGGCCAGCCCGTGGCTCACTTGGAAGAGCGTGGTGCTGACACCACCAATTCAAGTGTTAAGAGCACCTTACCAGTCACCCTTTAAAAAAAAAAAAAAGAAAGAAACCACTCCTCAACCCTGCAAGTGCTCGGGTTCGAGAGCTGTTTCCCATCAGCAAGCACAGGGAAAAGTACCTGCCGTGGAGAGCATGGCTTTGCTGGCAGGGGGTGCCCATGTGGGCTGGGCAGCACGATGGGCCCAAGGCTGTGGCGGGCACAGTCCTGCAGAGCTAAGCCCTCTGTTCTCTGAGTTCCAGCAACCTGCCCTGGTCCAAACTGCAGGGTCCTGACCCACAGAAACAGGGCGCAGACTCTCCGCAGAGAAGGTGCACGAAGGGCTGCAGAAGGCTGGGCCATCTGTGTCCTAGCCCTGGAGGGAACAGCCCCCTTTCTCCCCAGACACGCCACTGATCTCGCACACTGGATGTTTACAAACAAGATACCTGTCTGTGGTTGGCGTGTCTTACAAGTAGTAAAGCATTCTAACGAAACCACAGTCTTGATTTACATCTGATTTACTGCATTTTAAAATTTGGGATGTTAGTGGGAAGAGAGGTGACGTGAGCACTAGTTTGGTACAGGCAATGGTGGGGGCAGTGGACACACCTGAAGGAAGACTGGAAAGACAGGTACCCTCTGCCCTCGTCTGGTGACCCCAGGACAGTAAGTAGGCACAGGAGGTAGCCCTGAGCATGACCCCTTGGGGTCACAGCTGCTGCAATCACTGGGGGGCCCATCCCGAGGAACCCTGTTTGTCCTGCTCCCCACCCCTGAAGCTGGAGAGGCTCCCTGTGGGTGCTGGACTTGGGGAAGGGGCTCTCCCGGCCCCATTCCTCCCAAAAGATGCCTTCTGCATCCCAGCGGCTGCTGGCTGGGCCCGGCCAGGGTCCTGGGCAGGGAGGCAGGGCGACTGTCCCCAGCAGGACGTGCCCTCCGAGCTGGCCAAGTGTCCTGGTGAAGACCACCTGACCAAACCATCAGCCTGCTGGTACCCCTCCCCGCCCTTTCTTTCCTTCTGGACGCCTTTGGGGACCTGGCAGGAGCTAGCTTCTCCCCCCATCCACTTTCAACATCCAGGTCCTGAGTAGCCGGGGGGACTCAGAACGGTCCCTTCAAGCCCTTGCCAGCAGAGAGCTGGGCTTTTGCACAAGGGGGAGGTCTGGCCACCAGCCTCCCCTCCTGGGCCGGGGCCAGTCCTGGGTCTGATGTCCTCGACCCGCCCTCAGACTCCCTGTCCATCTCCCCGCTAAATCCTGCCCAAAGGGCCGCGCCGCGTGCCCAGCTCCGGGCGGGGGTCGCCACGGCTGCTGCGGGATCTGGCCGGGGAGGCAGGAGAGGCCCGCGCTGGAGGGAGGAGCGGGGGTCACGCGCCAGGACCCCCACCCCAGGGCTGCACCTCCGCCACGGGGCTCGGGGGCCGTCAGGTCGGCGGGGCGGGGGGCTCACGGGCCCGCGGCGCCGGGATCCGGGGGGCGCG